TGGTAATAATCAAAAAAAAAAAAAATGAGAAGTCTGGAAAAACGTTCTCCTTTAAGACTAATGAACTCCAAACTTCCCAGAAAAGAGCAACCATAGCTCTTCATCCCCTGTAGCGCCTCCACCGCGAGCAAAAGCCAATTTGAAAAAGGAAAATTCACGACTAAAAATAAGAAGACTATATCCATTGAGCATTAAAGTAACAAACAAGTCAAACGAGGATTAAAGAGGTCGTGCGTGATGAAGGGTTACTGCAAGAGAAAGACACTCGGTTAAACGCGATCTCTTACCTAAGGTGAAGCACAGTAAAAGTCAAAGTGAGAACAGCTCCGTCAACAGCAGCGTTGCTACTTTGGAATACTGCTTCTTTAGTGTAGCAGTACGTCGAAGAGGTCAAAGCATTAGAAGATCTGCATGAGATGGAAAGCAACGGGAAGGTGTTTATAGCAAGCAATTGATATGTTCTTATGCCTCTTCGCTCTAATATAAGTAATCTAGAAAACTCATATTTTGACGAATCACAGAAGACGGACAGACCTGCAGTACTGACTAATGTTCCCTTCCATGCACATATTTTCATATCCATGCATGAGCCCTCCACTCAACCTCGTAAGCTAACTTAGCGAACGTTTCATTCTTCTACACAAGTGCGAAAGTAATGGATCCAGTTCGAATCGTTCAACGCAAAATCTTACCGCTGCCAAACTTATACAAACTTCTTTCTCTATGAAAACAAATAAATTTATCTCAAAGATAAGCCGTGCGCAGCAAAATAACAATATCCAACGTTGCCCATCTTCCAAAAACCTCTTAAAAGACATACAGATCTTAGAACAAGATTGAAGCAAGGTTTCTGGCAAGATTTAATGGCACGTAAGTTCAACTCGACGTATGATCGAGAAAAGTACGAAAATAACGAAAGGTTTTCTTTGCGAGAGATGAAGTAGGGTCGTCAAGCTAACAAAAATAAGGGATCGCCATTTGGGTGTTTTTGAAGGTAAAACTCAACTCATCCAAAATGGTATGGAAGTTCAATTCTTATTGCTGAACTTACTCGAAGTGTTATCCATAAGTCTATCATCAAAAACGAAAGTTTCACGTACTACGTAACTTCAAAGAACAGGGGGTTCACTCTAGGAGTAGAGGCCTTGTCAGCAATCCCGAAGGTCGATTTCAAAAACTAGATAAAAAGATGGAGTGGATTTGGCCTAACTCTGCAAAGCGAATTTCTACAGGAAACAGAAGTAACAGTTAACGGTTCTTGATAGCCTGGATAAGCGAGACGACTCCATTCATAGGACTTTGGTGTAGGTTGTTCAATACCAGATATAGGAAAGGCTCAACCTCAACTGAGACGCCATAAAAAGCGTATGGGAAAACAACATGTTTTGGTCCGCTATCTCCGGCGTACCTCCCCCCTAAAACACTATAGGACAACCTTAATGATTCCTTGTCCCAACTCACCAAAGTTCTCCATTCATCTCACTGACATCTTTCAATCCCACAACGAACTACAAATCACCTTAAACAGTCATGTCATTATCAACAGCCATAAACAGCGCACGGTTAGAAAGCTTCCGTCTTGAGTGATTTGGTGAGATTTTAGACATTTGCTCATCTAGGCCTCAAATCTAACGCATAGATTTCCTAACTGACTCCACTGTACGGGTACACTTTTGCAAGAAAGCTTACAACCCAGCTTAGGGAGTAACCTGCACGCCCTAACATGGACACGTCATGTTGACTTGGATATAAGGCAGGAACAACATTTCAAACCTGCAGAGCACCTAGCCTAACTATTCCCAGCAGAAACAAAACATAGTCCTGACAATTTCAAAACAAAAAAGTCAAAACAAAATGCTACAATTCAATGCATAGCTCAAAAGCACCTACTTGTCCTCGTTTCCCTTGTTGAAGTGGCCGTTTTCCTTGACAGTCTCTTCGGTATTTTGAGTTACTTTACTATCATTGGCATCCATAATTGTACTGTAAAACGGTTATGTAGAAAGGAATGTAAATATAAGCAAAAAACTTCTGAAAAATACATACCTCTACTGAAATCAATTGAGTTGAATATAGAACAGGAGTTACAAAAAGGAAGATTACGAAAAACCGGAGAAAAATGAAAAGAGCCTTGAGACTATCTAGAAAATACCCTAAAAATCGTTGAAAAGAAAGTGAAAACAGAAAACAAAACCAAACGAAACACTCGATAAACATATGAGTTCATGAAAAGACAAAACACCAAAAGAGAGGAAAATCAAATGACACCCGCAAGCTCATTTTTTGCCCCTTCCTACAGGTAAAAACAGGAAACTCCGTATGGGAAGAAAAAAAAAGCAAAAAAACTGCCAATAGTATGACTTGTCCTAAAATCTGGGGATCGGCTCCCATTGGGCAATTTGCCCTCCCATTAACCAACTAACCTATTTTTTCTCACCAACTAATTGTCTTCCAAACTCTAATGCTCGAGAACACCTTTCACAAATAAAAATGTAATAAAAAAAAGGAATTCAAAAATCAAAGAGTTCTCGCATCAGCAAAGAATCAGATTACTGTAATGCGCGGCGTCACTTCCTCGTTCCCGCCAAGACCATCGCAGCACCTCCATCGTTGTAGTGGAGCAATGTGCATCCTTTAAATTAGTATTTGGTCAATGTGACTATCGGTATTGATCGGGTTGACTTTGTAAAGGGATTTTTCTTCCTAGTTCAAAATTTTGAGTTGGTTACCGTTGTGCTTGTGCTGGTAGTCGCCCAGAGATAGCTATTTGATAGGATGTTCAAGAGAAATGGGACGGCGACTTCACTTAGGGTGTGTCCAAAGTTAAATGCCCATGTTTCAGAACTAATGCATTCTGCTGAGCAACAATTTATTCTGAAACAGCCGATTGTTACAGAATGAATTCTTTGGAAGCTATTACCGAGTGATAACCTCTTGTGGTAGTCCTTCGACCTAACGTTTTGAAAAAAAGTTCTTTTAGCAAATTTTAAAAGTTGGATAAGAGTACTGTAACGTGATATGATGGGGTACTAACAAAATCAATTAAAAAATTTGCAAACCAGGGTGTTTATAAATTATGTAGGAGTTTCTGCTGGTACCAGTACCACAATGTAAAGGGCTCTCATCGAATAAAACACTGACAAACAACAGCAGCTGGTGTGGTTAAACAGGAATACAGGTCACGGTGTGTGGGAACAGGCTAAACACCAAGTGCAACCAGTAGCAACATAAATGACGAGGGATCAGATGGTTTCTGGGTCCAATCGGTACGTATATGTTTCATGATGACAAAGTGACAACTAAAATAATGTCGTTATTTGCTGTTATTTGTGACACACAGTGACATTTTTAATTTCTCTAGTCCACAGGCATACTGGACGGCATCGCCTGTGCTCTGGTGAAGCAGGCGATCTCTTTTGGTAGAGATCCACTTTTGGTATTTACTGTTTCTAGCCTAAACAGCCTGCTTTCGGAAATTGTGAGTCGACTGCTTTGGCAGTCGCCGGTGATGCGACGCGACGCATGGCTGACGCGTGCGGAGATCAATACCGCAATTTTATTGCACACGCCACTCAGGTACTGTAAGTGCCAAGAACGTTCACTCGGATCCTTGGTTTGCCAACGTACCTCATTGCAATCCGGCGTGAGGTTTCGATTCTGCTTTGCAAAGATGGCGCAGGCGGGAGTTGAGAGGAAACAGTAAGAGCAATAAGGGTAAGTACGGGTCTTAGTTTGAGCCTCAGGTTACGATTCAGCGCAGACTTCCACCAGAAGGTCAGTGTAGGAGTCGGATTCCGGTACTACGTTTTCGCCCTTGCGTGCCCTTATTCTTGTACGAATGCAACCGGGCGAACAAGTACTTTAGGTACCGAATGAATAGACGACAAATCGCTAGATTAGGTTCGTGGGCTAATAATGGGATTTCTAGTTCAGCTTTTTCCATCACTATTTCTTTTCGCATATTCGTTCGATTTAATTGTAGTTCAATCTACTGATCCATCCCGTCGAGGAAGTATGGTTTGCTTTGCTTGCACGGCTATCCTGTGCGCCTATGGAACCGCATAGAAATGAAGTTTTGTTCTATGATTGCCAATTAGCAGACTTTGATTGTATAGTTAGGGTTTACGTCCACCAAAACCTCCTTGGTTTGTGAATTTTTAGAGAACATTGACTTAGCTTGAACACCTTATCTTGAACATTTGTGGTGATGGTTTGTGCTCTTGCAATTCCCTTTGTGAGACAACTTCCACGGTTCGTGGGATCACACTGATACAATTGTGTGATACAGTAATCACATACAGTGAAATATAAGAGGCAGGCGGCCGAGATAATCCCGCACATATACCATGCACTGAGTAAATTTTGAACAAACCCCTGAAACGAGGCTTGGTGAAATTCGCTAAGGAATTTTGTACCCAAGTACTTGTAATCTTAGTCGCGTCGTTATCGAATTACGAAAAGGTAAGGTTCGAATTCCTAATGGTCGGTACGGTAAACGTTGGATGGTTACGGTAACTGCCACGTGCCTGCATGTGTCCGTGGGAATTGGGGTGGAAAACCACCATTTCGTATAAGAATGCTCGAAACTGATTGCGCCTTGATAGAAGGTTAGAGTCAGGTTCCACTGATCAGCGTATCACAAAATCTGTAGGCTTCAATTGGCCATTTCTCCTTTTAATATTTATTTTTCTCTTTTCCGATAATTTTGTGAACGGTTACTGTTGATTTACACTTGACGCTACCGTGTCTTTTCGGCTCTGACGAAGACAGCAGAATTCTGACTTGAAAAATTTTTAGTTACTCGTATACTCGTAAGAGGTGGATACACAAGAGTACTTACAGGAGTAAATCGGAAGTCATCTGCAGGTAACTGTTTAATGTTCACGTTCGTCTCTCAATGAATCTCTCTTGTCATCGTCCTTCACTCTTGCACTGTAAAAGTGCCAAATCAACAACTTTAAAATCTTATAGTTCTCGACTTCGTCGGCGTAGTTCACGACCCCATCGAACTTTCATCATTGAAGCGCCGAAACGACAGCCGAAAAAGGAGTTTTACAAAATCCTGCTACCTCTGGGAGAGCGTAAAGGCTTATGATAGTATCTGATAAAGGGATGTCGGAGTGGGTAGGACGAAATTCAATCCTTTAAATGTCCAGTTCAAGAAGTATAAGTACTTGAGTGCAAAAATATGGATCGCTGCCTTAGACTCTTGGCCAGTGCTCTTCAAATATATCAAGCGGTAGCATCAGAGATTGGTGTTTGACACCTTACTTCCAGGTACCCTTTGAGACCGCTGCACTTAAGCAGTAGAGCGGGGGTTGTCGGAACGTGTTGTGGTAAGACGAAATTCAATCTTTTTTCAGTTTCTTCTTCATACACTTACTCTACACTACTTCATACAAATACCATTCGTAAACTAACATGTATTAGTCGCAGGATAAAAACAGGCATCCGATCTTATTCTATGAAAAATACTGTTCCCTTGTACATATTTCATAGCTGGTACGGTAGGGGGGCACGGACAGTATTCTGATATCGGGGACTGGTTTCAGAGTTATTAGGTTGGCAAATAAGTCCTGCGACAAAAAATTCAAAGCGTTGAAAATTTGTATCAACAGCGTGAACACGGTAGCAAGGGTGATAAACTTGTAGGACGTTCCCCGGGGGATCAACACATGAGTAAATAAGGGCACACTTGTGGGCTTTCGCAGCATTACGATCAATGAATGGACAACACCTAATTCGTGCCATCACCTTCTACCAAGCACGCGAAGGAAAAAACGCGAATTTAGCGGCTCGAAATATCAGCAATCTATTCGATGCTAGCGCTGCTCACCGATCGACGGTCAACAATCGGCTGGATCGCTTCGCTGGAGGAGATACTAGCCTTCGAAGTTACGCAAGCATCGTCCCTTAAATCAATGGAGGTTATAGGGATCCATCCATTATGAGTTACTAAACGCAGAGTAGATCGACTCAGCTATCGGTTACCCTTACGACTCCCGGAATTGGGCTAACAGGGTTAGAGAAGGACGATCAAAACCGTAAATCAGGTCCCTACAGAGGGTCAACGCACGTCGAAATTTCGCTTTAGACCCACGTCAAAAGTTTACCGATCCCGATTGGTTGTAGGTTACTCATCAGTCGTACTCCCGGAGTGTTCCCCCTTTTAACTACCAGGTGCTCCGCCTTTTCGAGCATCCGTTGTGGGAAAGAAATTAGTAACTTAATGTGATCCAAAAACGGCAGTCAATTACTTCTTTGAGTCACAGCTAACTCTTTCCTCAAGAGATGGCATCAGTGAATGGCTCAAAGAGTAAAAGAAGGTTGTTGACTTCTTCAGTAAATATTTTTCCGAAAATTGATTGATATGAAAAAATTAGAAATGATTGAAAAAAGGTGTCCATTTTGTCGCAGGACTTATTTGCCAACCTAATACAATGACTACTCCACAGTTCACAGTCCATCCTGTGACACAATTTGTTCTGGTATAACAGGTATCTCGTATAGATACTTACCCAGGTCAGGCCAATCGACATCCCATCTCATCCAAGAGGCTTCGTCTTCGTAAACAGAATTTCAAACCCACATAAAATAGAATTTACCTTGCTTCCCGATCAGAGTTCCGCCTGAAGTTAAAACATATCTCTGGCAAAGTAACCACGTCATGATGGTCAGTGAAGTCTCTCTTCATATGGGCTAATCGTAGGTCTCAAGAGAGTAGGAGCGGAGGGGAATTGGAAAGATTTACCTTCTCATTTGGGTCTACACAATTTTGGGCAATTTTAAAGTTTCAGAACGTGTCTAAATACTATCACATGATGGGCTTGGATTCGTTGCGATTACGACGATTGAACCAAATTCATAGTAATGTCACTGAAGTTGGTCGGCCGAAGAGCTGTAGGGGTATCATGATGAAAACCGAGGTTCCAATTATACTTCATGAGTAAACGGTCAATTAAACTTGCTCGTGACCTGATAACTGGTAGGAAAGAGATTGTTAACAACATTTATTGGTCAACATAACATAAGATAAAACAGTACCTTACTTCAGTAAAGCAGACAGACAGACAGACAGACAGTCAGTCAGATAGATAGACAGACAGCCACTCAGGAAGACAGACACAGACGGCATTCAAACCTATACATAGAAACAATAAGGTTTGATGGAAATCTAATGCTAGTTTTTCGACATCTAATTCTTTCACTTTTTTCTCTCCGGCACTCTCTGCTTAGTAAAAATTTCCAAATCATGAGTTAGAATCCAAAGTACGAAGTTTAAAATGAGATCCTGTCATTCCGAAAGAGATCTTCACAGTTGTCTCTTACATGACGTTCACATCCCTTATTTCCAGACTTGTATCAAGAAGTGGAAATGAGGTCTCACAATCAGTTGAAGTTACAATAGTATGGAGGAGTTCGAGGCTTAACCGCCGTTCAGAGTGAGACTGGGCTCAAATCGTTCGGGGAACGGAAGACAGGAAGTGTCCAGTACTTTGTGGCAATGGGAAAAGCAGAAGGAACCATCGATGTCCTTTCTACTATAGAACTTGGGGAATGGACGAGAAACACGGGAAGAATAGGGTGTTCATACGAATTGTTGTCATGCTTTATTACTACCATAAGCCTTTACGCCCTCCCACAGGTGGGGAAATGAGAGCGAGTAGGGCATTCGGATTACCATGGTCGACATTTTTTCATTTTTCTTTAGCCTTTATTCAGGTTACCTCCATTCATTTTCCATTTTCACCTGTTTCTCTTCCCACAAACATTTGTATAATATGCCCACATCCAAATTACTGTACCTACTATTTTGTGGCCCTTCTTTTTCTGTTTTTTTAAAAACCGTCCCACCCGATTTGTTTCTCGTCTAAACAGCAGTCTCACTTCATATGGATAACAAGGTTTGTTTGTTCCAATAACTAATCTAGGCAATAGAATTGTTTTCCATAGAAGCCATTCGAATTTTCGATCCATTAACTATTTCACACGCTATCTGAGGCATAAATTCACTCAGGGTTACTGTACAATCCTTTGTAAGCAATTGGTTGCAAAACAAAGCGCTAATTAGAGCTGTACGGTAGCGCCGACGCCTCCAGGAACAAATACATCGGAGTTAAAATCTGATGGAATGACTGGGCGGATGAAGTGTCTCTGAAGCTTTCGGTTAATGAATTTTCACTAGAGGATCCATTTTCTTCGGGCAAATTATGCAAGATTTCAGAGTGCTGCTGTTTACAGTGTAATTCAATGTCGTGTCCACGTCTGGATGGTGCCCAAGGAGGGAAGACAGCCTGCAGAGAGACGTAGACATGTCGTGCCCAGGTGCGTTGACGACTTTCCCATGGATATGATTGGTATTAGACAGAAAGGAATAATGGATAGTGTCAGTGTCACTAATGGCGTTCAACATCTCCACACTTCTGGCTTCAGCTCCAGATGAAAAACTTCGACGATCACAGGATGAATCTCAATCCCAGACCACAGATGAAGATGAAACTGATGAATCGCCCGAATGGTCGCGGCTCCGCCCTTCGGATCAACAAGGAGGTAAGTAAGATATGTAGAACTGTCAGGTACAGTAGCATTCCGAATCCTTATCTGAATGGGTAATCTGATTTTTGGAAATGACTATTCCTGGGGGGTTTAACATGAAGTAATGTGTACTCCCAAATGATATCTGGCTGTACGGACATCTTGCCAAGGAATTTATCTAACAAGGTATTTCACTGACCCTGGATGGCGGCAGGGCATTAAAACATGGAATTCGCAGGTTGATACTGACATAAACTACAAAATGAACGAAGCCCACAAGAGAGCCTTCCGAACGAGTGCCCGTACTTGATCTTGAATACATTGGAATCCAAACTAGCTTGCGTACGTCGACCAGGAAAGATCAGACGGGAGCTGAGTAAAATATTTCGGCATTTTTGGAATTTCTGGAAACTACATATTCAGTTCAACAGGTGCAATTCGATCATTATTACGGTATTATTAAGTAATTCTGAAGCGGAGAGCCCCGCCATTGAGTTTTACTCGCTCTCTCGATAGTTAAAAGTGAAGGTGAAGGTTTGTGGGAACCCCACCAAGTCTAGCAAATTTCTTTCATCTTGGGTAAGTCTTTTGGATAATCGGGCAAGGAATGAAATCTGCTTGCAAATACCGACAAAAATTTGTGATTTATTCATTTGTAGGCTGGGGGCAGTGCAGCTTGGCCCTAAAAAGAAAAGAGTGCCACCGCCCAAGATGTTGTCCGAAATTGCTGGGATTTCTGTTCATAATTGTTTGCCAACCGCCGACTTGGTCAAGTCAGTGACTAGTTTCGGAGAATCTTAAAAGTACATACCCAAGACTAGCCCTACTTACTAACTGCTTATTATTCAACGTGTTTCACACCTTGATTGCCGATTTCCATGGGAGACTTGAAATAGGCATTAGTGCTGCAGGCTACATTCACATCAATTCATTTTAAACTGCCACTTTCCGAGGATTCATAAGAGTTAATCAACGTTATAGCGATGACCGCGTGGGACCATCGAACCCCTGTCAATACATAAAAAGTGGTAAATGGAGTAATTGGACTTTTGCGCTTTTGCAGCTTCGTTCTATCTGTGGGAGCTGCTTAAAAAGGCTTTTTGAAGTCTTTCCAGCTACTTCTATGAATAGAGGGAGGCGAATGGGATTTCTCAAAAATCTAAACCTGACTTTTGTATTTTTTGCCGAGCTAAAAGTAGAAGCACTTTGCTCTTTCCGTCTGGGAAGTTGTTGGGCAGGGAAATGGGGGGGGGGGGGGGGGGGGGNATATGACTCTGAGACAAGCTGTTCCAGGCGGATCCGTATCCTGACCTAGGTTAGTTTTGCTTCTATCTCCATTCGGTTTCGGTTAATCCGGACCCAATTTGGCTAGGGAGAGGAGGAGAAACGTGAGGACTCATTTTCCCTTTGATGTCCATAGCCTGTTGATGAATGAACTTTACTACCGGGAGCCTTTTACTAGTAACCACTGAATGCGACTATCTGTGTAGGAGCAGATGTAAAAGGTAACTTATGTGGGAAAGTGGAACCTGTATCGACAATAACTCGGTATTTAGCCTTATCCACCTTGAGAGAGAATGATTTCCACTGCCGGCCTTGCCCTGTTAACATACTAACTGGGTCTGAGTGTTAATGCTACGAAAGTCTTTGCGAAGGTCCTATATGGAAAGGAAAACGGTAATGAAAAATCGTGATTTTTCTCCAGATTCCTGCAGTGGTGATCAAATATCACGATGGGATAACATGATGCCAAGTCAGCTTGCAATGTACGCAATTGCCCATAACATCAAAGCACCAACATTGGTTGAACTACAGATGATGTTGGGCTTGGGAGGTAAGTTGACTACTCTACTAACGTGAATACCGCCAAAATGGATCATTTGTAGCTCGGAAGCACGACTACCGACGATCACGAAGAGCACTTGGTGATCGTAAACCTCGCCAGGCTTATACAGCACAACAGTTGGAGAAATTGGAACGAGAGTTTCAGGTCCGACTATGACTTTTCTCAAAGGGTAGAGCCTTTTGGAAATGTTCGATCCTGTTCAAGATAGATAGGATCGGCGACCTTACTGCAAGCTCAAGAGATGTTCTACCAGATTCCCCAGATGCTCCATTCTTGTTAAAGACGCCTCTCCTCTTATGGATTCTACTACTCTCGCAGGGTGACTAGTATACCCCCTTATATGGGAGTGGTAAGGTGGAAATGGGGTAGTGCCAATCAGCGCATTATCACATGCAGATCATAGCTATTCCCCACTTGGCTTCCATTCAGGGTCGTAGGGGCGTAGGGGCGTTTGAAGGAGTACGTAGCCTATGCAATGATTTGCGGAGCCAGTTGAAATTAATAAGTGCTTCCATTCTAGATGAGTCTAGCACCAATTAATCAGCATAACATCTTGAATGGATAAAGGATTGGTCGGCTATGACGTCTACTGGTCCAGGTTTTAACCTTCGGACTAAGAGCGTGGTAGTGCGCCACTTGGCACTACACCACCTCTACCTTACCTCTCCCATGTAGACGGTATAATCATCATCCTTCAACAGGTTGAGAAGTCTGTGGAAGACATAGGGGAGAGGCACTCTAAACAAATATGGTTCACCTGTTGGGCTTGCAATGAGGTCACCGACCCGGATCAATCCAACTGCTCGTCTCCCAGTATATAATTA